TCTAAATATACGCACGGTGCAGTCCCCTCCCTGGAACTAGGCTTAACATGCTCCCGCATGTCTATAGTGTTTGCTCAATGTTGATTTAGTCGATTTTCTCCTGAAAGGAACATGTAAGACAACAATAAAATTTCCAATTTTACAGACCTTCTAGAGCAGATGCCGCAAAAACTATACAAGATATAGAAAAACTTGACGGTATCACCTGTAGAAAATTGAATAAGCTTTTTTTGGTTCATAGTAGTCATGTCACTAGGACGCATAGTTTCCGAGGATTAAGCGAAAAACCGAAAAGTGGTACCTTTAAACCCCCCTCTCCCCGCCGGCTTAAGGGCTAAGGGCGGGGACTTTTGCTATGTTCACCACCTAACTAGGTTAAATAAAGTCCCAAGGTCAGAAATTGTGTTCCACGGATTTCTCTCTACACCGTCGTTAACGCATTTATTGACTGGACTATAATACTAGTTCATGGCGTCAGTAATCGAGTTACTAACTGCCATTGTAGATTCTGATACTGTACTGACCACGAGTTGTAATTAAAAACAGCGTATTAAATTTTGATTGATATCTGAGAAAAATAACAAGAGAACTTCTGTTGGTATACGATTTTTATCTAAAATGGTTATTTTCTAATTAATGGTTAATTTAGGTAGGTACATAACTGTTGTAGTACTTATTTATTGGTTCCCAAACAGGTACACCGTTGCATAAACCTACTAATAGTATTGAAGCTAAGCTTTTGATAGTTCTATGATTAATACAGGTTATATGTAAATGTATGTCACCAATAATACAATCCCACGACTCCATCGTCCGCATAAATCAGTAACAACTAAATTCGCGGAATATTTTTTGCAGCTTCGAGCGAGCAGCGCCGGGCCCACGCAGCATATTTATAGGATATCTTGTTAAAAATGTCGACAATGAGTACCTACATCACCATCGCAAGGCAACTTAATAATCGAAACAATTTACAATGCCTATTCTATTGAATAACAGCAGGAGAAAAGTGTTGCAGCCGACTTATCAAGTTCAGTTAGTCCCCGAAATGCCTTTAGTTGCTTGGCTTTAAAAGCTCATGGACACATAATATAAAAGAGCTATGCAGAGAGCAAGTATACAAACTGAAACTCATTCAAAACTAATAATACTTTAGGTGAACAACATAAAAAAAAACCAAAAGTTACCTGTTATTTTTTATAAAATATGAAGTAAAGCGTTACGATGATGAATGTGGACAAGTGACACCGCGAAAATAAAAAAGTGCAAAAAACTTATAAACCGGAGTGAACTGGCGGCGCGCCACTGATTGGGACAAAGGCGTTGCGTTTAGGGAGACAAAACGTGACGTGTGACTGCCTACTTATAGCCGGCGATATAACAGTTAGCAATCTTGTGTAATTATCAATTTTATGAAAAAACTACTGAAACAGGGAATAAGCACCGTATTTGCGGGTTACTGTAGCCCAGGAGGGTAACTTTGGCCCAGAATAAAAAAAAATCCCACATCTTCATAGCAATCAATGTCCGCAACTTGAAAGGCGACAAAATAAAAGTTAGGTAGCGTTGATGCCTATTTATTTTCAGTTTGGTTAAAAGATACGAGTAGTTTGCTCAATTCCAATATTTTTTATCGAGTCAAAGTTGCCGTAGTGGGCTAAAGTAGCCCGCAAGTACGGCATACATTATACAGTTTGAATCAATAATAACTATTATCCTGCTTTCGCCTCCGAGATTTATTTTACCGTGTAGTACCCCTGTACGACAAGCCAATCCGCACACAATATTCAGCGTAGTAGTAGTAAAAAACAAAAGAGCGGGCAACCCCACCCCTACCACGCTGTGGGCTCGGTGTCCGAGCGGTCTCATTCCTTTGTGCGCACGCGCAACGACCGCACGCAGTATAAGAAAAATGCTTAAGTGACGTCACCAGGACGTTTTTACCGACATAAAACGTAATTATTTTAAGTTGTGCAGTGTAGTGACGAGAATTAGACCCAACACAAGGTATAATTATATGATCAAACGAACTTACCAAGTGAAGTTCGATCTCAATTATCCTGTTTTCGCCGAAGAGATTTAAGGTCCCTCCCAACCCGAAGATTTCTATATCTTCTTCCCTAGAGGTAAACGTCAATGTCATCTCTTCTCTAAATATAATGAGACCGCTCGGACACCGAGCCCACAGCGTGGTAGGGGTGGGGTTGCCCGCTCTTTTGTTTTTTACTACTACTACGCTGAATATTGTGTGCGGATTGGCTTGTCGTACAGGGGTACTACACGGTAAAATAAATCTCTTCGGCGAAAACAGGATAATTGAGATCGAACTTCACTTGGTAAGTTCGTTTGATCATATAATTAAAGGACATTTATTTTAATGGTACGAGTATGTCTTTGGTCAATTTTCAAAATATTAATCATGGACATCCATTCATCCATTTTAAAAAGAAAATTGTTCGCAAAAATTTGTGGTGTTTTTAACTTGTTTGTTTATTTACAATGAGAATCATCATCAGATGTAAAAAAAAAATCTGTTAACGAGCACGTTAACATCTGTTAGCATCCAAATAGCAAATAAATCCAGAGCGGGATACAGCCGGATTACCAAGTCTTTTTTGAGCATCGATGAATGTACAGAACTATTTTCGTTAATACTTCTTGCAGTAGATAAAAATGGAGAGCGATGATTTATGTATAAAAACTTCGTAATGTCGTTATTTAGATATAACTTTATTAAGTACATATTATTATGTAAGTTTTAGTCATAGTGAATTTTCATAAGTTTGTATATTCTGTATGTATATAAGAAGTCTGGTAAGTGAATCTAGAAGCAAATTTTTTTTGTATCAGATTATTACTCTTATTATAAATTACTTAAACATATACATAGTATTAAATTCATCCAGAAAGCTCTAGCCTGAAAATGTTTGCCAGAGCGGACTTCAAATTATGTATCAGATTGTTAATTGAAACTAAAGTTACCCATAGTTAACTTACCACTATTAACGGTTAAGTGACGGTGAGTGCTAAGACACGTGGGTCGGTGGGCGGAGACTATGCGCGTCTTTTTCTGAACTCGGCTTTAGCCACACGTCATTTTGTTAATCAAATTCACACCTTATTTCAATCCTGTAGAGTAGATCATCGACTCGAGTCACGGTGAGTTTAGTTTCACACCAGTAATTACAAACCAAAATAAACTTAAATTCGAGTAAATCTTAACGAAACTAGAGCGGGCTTTGTTTAAGGTTGACGGACTTCACGTTGATGTTTACTGCTCTTCACTTCCGTAACTGGATGAATGATGCAAGATTAATATTTGCACTTTTTGGGATTTTTGTTTAGTGCTTCTCGCCGTCTTAAAAACACGAGTCGTGTGACGCCCACTGTGAACAAGTAGCAGTCAAGTCTCATGTAGACTCCAAAACTCTACATCTCAGTCAAAATACGTGGCATGGCAGTATTTGTTATGATAAGGATGACTATATTGTTATGTTACCTATACCTAGTAGCACAAATTCAATCACTGCAAATAAAGCATTGTCTTTTCATTGGCACAATGAGTTTGTTGTGATTGCGAGCCAAGCAAACAACAGGCTTGTTAGCGAGCGCCCAGCAACAGCGGTGTCAAGTGGCCGCGCTGCAGCCGTGCAAGGCCCCTGCGTTTCTGCGTGGATTGGCAAGTTCCTTTACTTTGTCATTCGTAGGTACTTACAGTGAAATTTGGTGTACTTAAATAAAAAAGGAGCAAAGCTCTTGGAGTTGCATTAATGGTAAAGCCGGTCAGTATGTATCGTTCTGAATAATATCGTCCTCCGGAGAGTTATTTCCGAGATGATTTAGATCGAGGTTGGCGCATACAGAGTTGCCAGGAAGACCGCGACATGGGCATTATGTTATGTTTCCCAGGTAATGGTGCCATCGAGTGAGTAATCGATATCCGCCGAAACGCCGCGCACAGTTAATCTGCCGGCGCACGCGCATATTTCACGCGGACGTAATTTATATCCGCAAGCTTCATCATTTATTACGCTCTAACTGCACCTCAAAGTATTGGTTATCTTATATGAAACTCTCCCAGATTTTCAACATCAATTAATGTGGTGGAAATAATCAAGCTGATTATTTTACGTGTTGATTTTGTTGTCATAAGTTTTATTTTCTTCCTAGCTTAGGAAAATCTATCGTTGTCTTATTATTAACTGTATTTTTTCCGTCAGCAATTTTGTCTCTATTGAATTCCATCTGAAATAGTAAATTAGGTGATAATTTATTTGTTTAACTAAAGTTACCGTGATTAAAGTATTAGTGTCAGTCACGGGAGTAATTTTTCAGTATTTCGTGATCAACACTTGTGAATAATTTATGAGCTAAAACAATAATTCTAGAGTGAAACGTGACAAATTAACGGCCTGGCAAAACGAGAATAGAATACCATTCATAATAGGCCATTATTCAAAAGATAAAAGGCCTCCAGAATAGACTTTGAATTCCATTAGAAATGTGACTTATTGCGCGAACACGACATCTATATTTCAACAAACACATCAAATGTAAAGCGAACCGCCCGCCCAGAGGTTTTCCCGCCCAGCCGTATGGCGGATATTCATTTTGCGCGTTAGTGCCAGAAAACTACGATAGATGGCATTAGATGTTCTATATCTCCAGGGTCCGGTCGTTATAACGTGAACTCTATAATGTGTTAGTATTTTGAGCTTGTAAATAGAAGATGTCTCGTACGAATTGTAAGATCTGAAGACTCTTGGGTTTTTTTATTTATTAAACGTTTTTATTGATTGATTTATTCACTGGGTACACCAATAAAGACACAAAGTATTATAAGAAGGCATTTTAGTTATTTGTTTTGTGTGTACCAACATTATATCTAAGTTGTCACTTAAATCCACTCCAAATTGCATTCCTTCTCCAATCACAATTGAGTTTAATTAGTACGATAACTGCATTTGTTTATTATTGATATATGATTGCGCTTGTTTCAGGTGGCGCCGGCGCAGCATGCGCGGCGTGACGTAGCGCGATGGCGTCCGACGCGCGCGCGCGCTCGCCGCCGCCCGCGCGCCTGCGCCGCGACAACAACAGGTGCGCTCCTTGACGATGACGACGTGCGCTGCACACGCCTAGTGCTGGTTACCCAAATACATTCCTCTATATTTTTATAATGCACTTTTACTTCACATTTTAATTGTTACATTTAGTAGTGATTACTATTGAATCATACATTTTTGAAAGAAGACAAATAAGTATATTAATTTTGTCATAGAACAATATTTCTGTACAGTTCAGAAAAAATGCGCCGGAACGCATCATTGGCGACTAAGTAACCGAAATATCGTAAACAACTCTCGTATTCTACGAGGTCGCGTCGCTAGCTCGCCAACGTGCGTCTATTTATACCGACGCGTCTTCCGTCTGGCTGTCTACCACCTGCCGCCCTTGCGAGCGCGCGCCGGCGAACGCTCGCCAGCACGCTCGGCTCGCGCTCGCCGCCGCGGGGAGGGGGATGCGCCCGCGCTATATCGGGCGCACTCGCCGCCTCGCTCCGCGGCGGACGCGCGCTCACTCGCCGCCTCCGCAGGTCCCCGTACGTGACGCTGGGCGCGGTGCGCTACGCCGTGCGCCGCGCGCCGCCGCCGCGCGCCTGCCCGTGCCGCTGCTGCTCCGAGGAGGCGCTGGCGGCGTGCCTCGGCCGCGCCGCGCCCGACCGCCGCACGCTGGAGCGCCTGCAGCGCCGCCTGGGCCGCGCCCGCGACGAGCGGCCCTCGCGCCACCAGCGCCTGCAGGCCCTGACCGAGCGCCTGCTGCCGCGCGCGCCGCCGCCGCCGCCCCCGCCGCCGCCGCCGCCGCCGCCGCCGCACTCGGCGCCCGTGCTGCCGCCCGTGCCGCCGCCGCCGCGCCGGCCCGCCGCGCACGCGCCCGCCGGCGGCAGCCTGCCCGCGCTCATGGCGCCGCGCGTGCTGCACGAGCTGCGCGAGGAGAGCGACGGCTCGCAGTCGCAGGCCGACAGCGCGCAGCCGCACAGCGAGGGCGCGTCGCCGCTGGAGCCCGCGCGTCCGTTCGCGTTCCCGCCGCTGCCCGAGCCGCCGCCCGCGTGCGCGAACCCGGATTGTGACTGTGCTGACTTTGCCGCGACGCGAGACGACGACGCGAGTGCGCTAGAGAGTTCGATCCCTGTGCCGGTGTACGAGTGTATAGTGAAACAGTGGTCGAAAGAGACGCCGCAGGAGGAGCCTCCGCGATCGGAGGCCGCGTCCGATGGATCGCTCGACAAAGATAAGGAAGACGAAACGATCACGAGTGAGCATTTGGCGCATTTGCTCGCTGCGGTTCAGAATCCTCGCACCCCGGCGCCCATAGGAGCCCGGGAGCGTCGGAGGCCCTTCGATAAATCGAAAAGAAGAAAGGGTATATACATTACCACGGCCAGCGATGACGGCGGTGAGGAAGACACGCCTCTAACCGTGAACGGGAATCGTGAAAGTGGAGAAGCATCACCTCGCGAGACGAGGTTGTCAGACGAAGTGCGGACGTCGTCTCTCCTCGGTGACAAGTCGGACGATTCTTGCACGAACGGGCCGCCCAGCCCGTCCGATATGCCGACTCTGATGTGGCCGCGATCGGAGGAGCTGAGAACGAGGCGGGCGAGGTTTTCCCAACAAAGCTCAGACGAACGAGACGACGATTCGTATAGAACGAGAAGAAAGTACGGTGTCACGTCCCGGGGGGACTCTCCCTCGGAGGCGGAGAGCGATTCATGCTCGAGGGACCGGACGGCGTCGCCGTCGCCGTTCAGTCCGTCGGACAACTCTGACGTGGAAGCGAGACGGCAGCAGTTCTCGCAGAGGCCGTTCGGGAAGAACCTGGAGGCGCCCGTGAACCGCTCCGCGGAGAGCGGCAGGCGGAGTTTCTCGGACGCCACGGTGCCGAGCCGCAAGTCGAGCGCGGGCAGCGGGCCGCCGGCCCGGCGCGGGCCCACGCACGTGCGCGCCACGTCGTCGCCGTCCAAGCTGGCGGGCGTGCGGCCCGGCGCCGACCTGCTGGCCGAGCTGCTGCGCGGCAGCTCGGAGGCGCTCTCCAACTCCGCCGCCTTCGACAACGTCGTGCTCACGCTGCATCAACACAATGTGAGTAATACTTTTCTGTGCCCGTTTTATCTTTAACAACGTGCCACACATTTCTTCCGTTATTTATACGACGTCAGTAATGCTCTTTCGTATGAACTAGAGTTGTCATTCAAGATTGCGATGAAAAGCATTGTTCGCGGTTTCGGTATCGTTTATGTTAATCCGCGATGTATTCGGGGTCAGTGTTGTTTTTAAATACATCACTCGTGTTCCCGCATCTCTGGGGCCAATGTCGTCTGACTCACGCGCAGCTGTTCCAGAACATTAAAAATGTAAGGGCATATGAGTTTATTTAAAACAGTGAATCTAAAGCTTTATAATAACTTAACGTGGGTGTGCTATTCCTTTAAAAATGATATAGAATTATTTTTCTCGATATTTATCAAACTTCAGTTTTATATTTTTAAATGAAAGCCTAATTTGGAAGTAATACCTGTCTGTACGTACATTGTATGCAGATCACTAAACTGCGTTCATTGAGTGCGCACTTAGACATTGTAATAATTTTAGCAACAAACGTCAATAATTCGCTGCATTTGTTGTTTTGTGGCAATGAAAATACCGCTTTATTGCCATCAGTGTTTGTAACAATTTGTATGTAGCAGTCCATAATGTTCTTGACATTATGGCTTTATTTGTTTGCATGAAGATAGCGCGGTTTACTTGTGCAATTATCTCCATCTCACATTAAAAATATTTTAAATTTTGCGATGTTATTATGTTTAATGATCGACAAAGATCGAGGAATTTCCGAACATTAAACACCAGAGTTATTGACGTCGTACTAGAGCGGGCTCAGGACTGAACCTTGAGCGGCCTCGCTGCAGTTCACCCGCATGTTTTCCATTGAGCCTTGGCTATGATATTTTAAATTGTAACAATGTAAAACGGTGACGAAATATTTTTATGAATTTTTTCACAATTAATGTCGAGGCGTGGGTTTCTTTGCTTTAGAATCTCTACGTTTATACAGACTTTGCTTGTTCAAAGTCGTAAAAGTCGTCTAATATAAAACTCTGGTACTCGGAAAAACGAATCCGTGTACGAATCGAATCGATGAATCATTAGGTCAAGAAACTATGTAGTGCTTCTTTATTTAGCGCCAGCTCTCGCCGTAACGTTAACTTTTACAAAGCGAGTCACTTAGCAGAGTTCGATGCTATAAGATTGTCTTCTGATTGTTCAGTGAGCTGAAATCCGAAGCATGTCTGACGCAAGGCTATAAATCTGAATCCACAGCACGTGCCTTTCAGTAAGTAAATAAATAAATAAATAAATAAATAAATAAAAGTATTACTTGCTGCAGTTCATTTTCTATTATAGCAAAGGAATCTTTCTTTATTTAATATTGCAGCGTTAATGTGTGTCTGTACAATTAGACTTGTGCTTTAAGCAAAAAAATATCATAGAATAGAATAGAATAGAATAACGTTTATTTTGCTGCCACATGAATCACATCATCTTTATTTATTGAAGACGCATTCTCTTCACTTTTATTAGTTCTAACTCTTTGGAGGCTCATAAACGTTCCATTCCCCCCTTCCTTCTTGGTAAATATTATGACTAGCTTTGGTTTTATTATTTGCGTAGTATCTTTAAGAGAAATTAGAGTTGTTTACGAGTGGTTTAAATGTACACTTTGCAGAGTAAGAGAACAGGATCAAATCAATCCATGGATCTGTACCTATTATGTATTTTTGGTTGTTGCTCATAACGTATTGTGCGTATTATGTCCGCTAGATGTCGCGCCGCGGCGTCTGCGCCCGCGCCAGGAGCAGGCACGTCTCCAACGATCTAAATAAAATGGCGCACATATTGCACCCGGCTAAACACTCTGTGACTTTTATAATCGTCGACGCAATATTTTGGCAATATTTGTGCAAACAATGTTTAGTATGGAAGCTAAATACGAATAAAAAACAAAAAAATATTAATCCTTTTTAAATTCGTCATAGAGAAAGCAAATGTAAGTAAGCTTAAACTTTTTTTTGTTAAGAGCTACGTACACCTTTTTCAGTCCAGCTATCTACGATTTCTAATAGGTACATATCCACACTTTCCTAATAAAAGCGTTTTTCCACAGTTAAATAAGAACATATTACATTGTCATCTGTAAATTGAATCGTAAAATCGTGGATAATACGCACCAATAATCATGTCTACGTTTTCTTTTGAAATCATATATTTTATACCTTCTACCAACCAAAAATACAATGTTTACAAAGTAATCGTCTGTTAAAACCTGGGATTCGCACACAAAAAGCAATTCAAATCGTATATCAGCGAGAAATTGCAATACTTCAATGGAATATATCAGTCAGGTCGTTCAGTAAAGTTCCACGCAGCATCGCTGAGATCATATCACTTCGATATGGAAGCGAGCGTGAATCACTCGGGATTTGGGTCGCTCACTAGTCCGCCCTAGTGTTGTGAAGAACGATACTTTATTGAGGAACCTACCATTTTTATTTTGATTCAAGTATCAATTGATTTGGATGATAATAATTATGAGCATACTAGAGCAGTGTCCGTGACTTCGTAGTTCGTACGCGTGAAAATCATTTTTGCTGTGCACCTATTACTCGTAGCGAGATGGTATATAGCCTATAGCCTTCCTCTATAACTGGGCTATCTATCCCACGTCGTTTGGAAGTTATGCTAATAGTCCTTCATTTTCAAAACAAACAGCATATTTTATTATGTAATAAATTATTATTTATTATGTACATATAAAATATGCTGTTTGTTAATTGCTCATCTATTGATGAGGTAGTTTAGATCAAAATATATGCCTTGGACAGTTTTCACAAGTAGCAGATTAATACAATCCAAAACTTAAAAGCATGCAGACTTTTAGAAATATACCTACTAAAGCCATAACAAGATAATAAAATGGCACAAGTAAATAATATGTAATAAACAGATACTTTCTCTTTTTTCCGGGAAAATGCTAAGTTATGACGTCAAAGAACTACTTAGAATTTTGAGGTAAGTACATAAGCTTTGTAAAGAACATGTCATTGTCTTGTCTATTTTCTTAGAGGTGCCATGGGCTTAATTAATAGCATAGTATTAATTTATGCCTGACCAGGAACATAAAAACCCTCGCCATGTTGCGGAAAACTAATGGTACTAATTTCTTTTAATGGCAACAGTAACTGAAAACTTCATTGATATGTCACCTTGCATGTCAGTCTATTGCTGTCAAAGTGTAAACAAACTTTATTTTAAATGTGCGCAATTGATTTTGTGAATTAAATTGCTAAAATCTTTTTATAGTCGTGAAAGAAAAGTGGTTCACAATGTGTTAAAGTATTTGTCGAAGAGAAATACTAAGGGTTCGGACAATATTTTCATTGAATAATGTTTCCGACAAAGGTTGTCAAATTGACTGACATGTTTATCGTATAGTACAGTCCACTATGAAAATTAGCTGTGGTTTGTTTCAACTACCTATTTTAAAGATTTTTGTCACTTTCTAAGTGTTGAATTTTATGGAATTGGGAAAGAAGTACCGAGTTTGAAGCGTTCATGAGCAGACATTGCAGTGGAATATTCAAGTTCTGAATTTGATTATTGATGAATAATAAAATAAATCCTACTAGCTCGATTGATGGTTTCATTTAATTTATTTAAACCAGGTTACCTATACAATCTTTATTTGTTAATTTATGAAAACATCAAATTAGGACGTAATCCTGAATCCTGATACATAAAGTTAGGCTATTAATTTAACACAGGTACGACTGTACTCAGTGTTGCACTATCAAATGCAATTGACGCGCCTCTATGCCAGGGTTTTTATGTTCCTGGTCAGGCTATAATACTTTAAAATCGGGGAAATAACTTGTATCTCTTATTAATTGTCGCGAAATGGTTCTCCAAGTGCTACCTCCAGAAGTGCCGCACGAATTTATGGTCAGTAAAATCGTAGTTGGAATCGTTAAAGTCAACAATGTTGTCAATGGGTGCGCCGAATGTGGGTCGCCGCCGCAGCAGACTCCTGCAGCGTGCACTGTTTATTTTCGCGATCGAGTGGCCACCGGCGATCACTTAGCTCGTCACCGACAGATTTCTGGCGCCACCTTATTTATTTTCAGTATAGGCGCCATTAAAATAATTAGGTTTGTCATCGGAGCTGAAAAACGCCGAAAAAATTATCCGTATTATAGGAATTTATAGCTCGCGTCCAGCGTCTGCTTTATAAAATGGTAGTTTAATTGTGGGTGACTTTTTATTCGTCGCTTCCGCGTGCGGCTTCAAAAAGAAGCCATTACTCACGCGCTGAGGACTCCGCGTCCCCACAATATTAATACTTCAGTGTTATTGAGATCTAACATCGTCGCCTAAACGATATTTCTATCCCTTTGTGCGATTATTGTGAAAAATTATCTTCTTTATTTTCCTTCGAGAACTCTACAGGGCATCATATAGGGCGTTAAACTTCACTTCGTTGGGAAAAGTATTGTTATCCATCCCTCTTTTTTAACTATGACGTACCTAGTGTATTGCTAGTTGCTTTTAGAAAAAAAATACTCGCTTCAATTTTATTTCTACTAGATACGATAACCCGTTAGTTTATCGTTGTTAAATCCTTCGATTTACCCATTAATTTTGATGTCTTCCCGACTTCTGAGTATAACATATCATAAATACAAGAAGATGCCAATGTATTTATAGTAAAATCAAGGGCAAATTAAGCTGACAACTATAATACTGTGACTCATCTTTGCAGGATTTTTACAATTGATTCAAATAATACCTATACAATGGAGAAGTTTTGTGGTGTTGATAAAACATTATAATTCACTGAATGGGATGAAAATATAGAGCAAAACTAATAACACCATCGTCACGATTTATGTGGCAATTTGTATTGCCGGCCGCCTGGGAGCAAAAGCTCAGCGCAGGTGCAGGACGCGTTACAAATGGGTATACCGATAGGTACTTATTTTTTTTTTAATTATTAAGGTTGAGTGATCGTGAAGATAGTGCATCTT